GTAAAATGGGTCAAGATAGGGGTAATCGGCCACGCTGAGTCAAGTGGTGATGTTTATTCTTACTTTCAAACCGATCTAAAGTCACTATATCACGACTTTCGAAGTATTAGCTTGGACTTTTAGAGTTCTAGAGCTTATAGACTTTTAGATCTGTTGAACTTTTAGACTTCTCAGACTGTCAGATTTCTTGGACTTTTAGACTTCTTAGACTTTCACATTTCTTGGACTTTTAGACTTCTAGAACTTTTAGATTTCTAAGGCTTTCAGACTTCTTAGAATTTTAGGACTTTCAGACTTTTTTTAGACCTCCTATTTTTAGACTTCTTATTTGTAGACTTTTAGACTTCTTAGACGTTTAGATGAGCATTTGGACTTCTAAGACTTTCCGACTTCTTACACTTTTAGATTTCTCGGGCTTTTAAACTTTTTAGATTTCTTGAACGTAGGTGTAAATAAATGAATTGGTTATGTTTTATACAGTCGTAATTACAATACGAACAAGTACTTAGCCAAAATCGGAGACGAACTGTACAGAACAGATGATCTTCTGGAACCGGCACCGGAAAAACTCGATCTTGATCGAACCGTTGCATTGAAAACATAAATCAACCTTAGCAGAAGTGATTTGAGTTCCATTAAAGTGTTTTTACAGGATAATCTCCATATACCAGGCAAGACCAGTATCTACGACTACACAAGGCCCCTGCTTCCAACTTTAAAACCGTGTAGAGAGGACAAAGGTGTTGTAGTTGAAAATGTAAGACAAGTTGCCGAATTAACAATCACAAGACTTATCGAATCATTGATCAGACAAGGCGATAACTTACCAACAAAGTTAGTTTACAAACAAAAAACCGGGCATCATGGTGCTGGCAGTCAGTCCGTATATAGAGCGAAAGATAACCCTATGCTTGATTCCAACTTATTCTGTCGAATGCTTGTTCCGCTCTCTTTGACCGATGACAGTAACACAGGCAAGTGTTTGGCATAATGAAACACCGAACAGTTCTTTCTGGACACGACCGTTGTTTATTACAGCTGAGAAAGAGTCTCCAGATCTACTCAAACACGTCAATGACTTGTTCGAGCCGCTAGATATAGGATTTTAGCCTACTTTTCGCTATTTCAAAAATGCTTCCTTCAATGTGAAAAACGCTAATTGAAACTGTTAAAAAAATTGTTTTCGACATCAGTATTTTCAGTATTCAGTATTCGTCACTATCAGTATTTTAGTAAAGTACTGAGACTAGTGCATACCTAATGATGGTGTGATCTCTCTCGCTTCCTTTTATTGTTTATGTGAATATATAAGTCTAAGAAGCCTAAAAGCCGAAGAAGTCCAAAAGCCTCTAAGTTCTAGAAGTATAAAATTCTAAGAAGTTTAGAAGTCCAAGAAATCTCAAAGTGTAAGAAGTCTGAAAGTTTTAGAAGTCTACAAGTCTAACAAGTTAAGAAGTCCAAGAAGTCTAAGAGTCTAACAAATGTAAAAGGCTAAGAGGTCTAAAAGTCTTAAAGTCTAAACTAAGTCTAAAAGTCTTAGAGTCTAAGAAGTCGAAGGGTGAAAAGTGTGAAAAGTGATTTGAATCAAGGGATAATTTGGACCGATTCTGTTCCCCGTATAAAAAGTCGGTTTTGCGCTAATGGGAAAGACGAAAATTTCGGAATACATGTAACTGTAGTCAAATAATCAAATGGTTATCACCGTTTAGCAACAATTACTAAATGTCATACTCCAGTTTATAGTACCGAGTTGTTTTTGCAGAAATAGTACTGATACTTTTGAAGAAAAACATTAAAAACGATTTGTCTGGAAACGAAACGTTTTTGGGTAAATCGACTGGCCTAGACGGATTTTCAGTTTTATGCAGAATTTCATTCTCTACATTTTCTCTCATATGCACCATCTGAGAAAAAACCTTGCCGTCCGAGATAAGCACGATTTTCTATTTAGCAAAGAAAATCGTTTACGACGATCGTATACGGCTGAACATAAAAGATCGCAGTATCTTTTAGAAGTTTCGCGCTCAGCAAAAAGAAACTTTTCACAAAAGTTCAGTGTTCTAGCTTCGAATTCTAGATCTGGAAAAAGAAACAGCAAAAATAAAAAGAATAAACGAATAAACCATCCAATATACTGATTTTTGGTATTATTAACTACGCTTCAGAGTTTTGTGCAATTCATTCAAGACAAAGCTTCGACTTTCGTTGCTAAATAGAAAATCTAACAAAAAGGAACTATATGAAATCCATACATGAAATCCTTACAAAATCTCTACAAGTTCATACGAAACCTTTTTGAAAACGCGGAAAAAGGAATCGGTTCAAACCTCTTATACGGCACCTTTCTTGGACACAGGAAAAAAGGTATCGTAAGACACCTTGTACGTGTCTAGAAGTCTCGAAGTCTAAAAGTCCACGATATCGAAAAGTCCAAAAGTCTTAAAAGTCTAAAAGTCTAAAAGTCTAAGAAATCTAAAAGTCTACAAGTGTAAGAAGTCCATAACTGTATGATATCTAAAAGTCTGAAAGTCTACGAAGTCTGAAAGTATTAGAAATATAACAGTCTGAAAGTCTAAAGAAATCTAAAAGTCTAAGACTTCTAAAAGTCGAACAAACCTTTGATATAGTGACTTTAGATCGGTTTGACTGAAATTGTATTTTGGCTGTGCCGGAATGATAATCGGATTAAAATAATTTATTTTATTTTTCCATCGAAATAATAAAAATTAAAAAGTTAACAAAGAAGAAAAAAGGACTTAAAAAAGATTAAAAGATGGCAAGGTGGCTGGGTTTTTCTCTGTACAAAAACGTTATATAATACCGTTTGACTCCAAATCTCACGCAAATCCTTGTTCGTAAAAAGCCTTCATGGAAAATTTTACAATCAAAATAATCAAACTATTTCCCCATCATGTATAACTGAAGAAGACAATTACTTCTGTCTCTTATAGAGCTTTAGCTCAGATGTTTTTTCCTCACTTTTTCTTACTCGCCAATCGCGATAACCAATACTCGCTGCAAAAAATGCCCCGGACTCACTCTCACATCGCCTCCGCCCCGCCCTCCTGTCTCGAATGCATGAAAGTTTCTGATACAATTCCTTTTATTCAATCTTTTCAACTTTTTTTAATTGTTTTGCTTATTCAAAATCATCATCCAGTCCTTGCCATCCATAATAAAAAGCTATCATTCAATTTCCTTTCCTATATCTCAGCAATATTTCTACGTACAAGTGATAAACAAGCCCAGGTTCATTCAGCGCTTTTCCTTCCTCGTTCATATTCGCTGCATTCACAAACGTCACTTTATCTTTCTCCCACACGCCATAACCTGTATGAATATGACCAAAAATGGATAGAATTGGTTTAACTTGTAAAATTCTTCTCATCAAAAATTTGTCATTTCTTCTCGTCAAAAATTTTCTTCGAAAAATTGGGTTCATCCAGGAGATTCCATATCTCAGCCAAAACTGCACAAGAGCATGAACCTTTTGAAGGTCGTTATAGTCCAGTGGTCCTCTAGCAAGGAGAAAAATATGGCCTCAAAAGTTTCTAATCATCATATTGGTTCAAAAGCTTTTAATCATCTCGGGGACTCTCTCTCGAAAGCATTTTTTGAAAAATCGAAAATGGGTACATTTCGATATTGAAGTCAAGAGTGATGGTTCAAAGAAGTATCGGTTAAAGGTTTTCTTATGAAAAAAAACTTTAAAGTATCCTCTATCACCAAGCAAAACATGAGCTCATTTGATGAAAGAGCGGTGGAGATATTGAATTTTCTTTTTTTCCCGGACTTTTGGGACACCCTGTATATATATCCACTTAGAGGAGATGAAAAATGGACGACAAAATATACGACTAAGAGATACTAATTAAATGGCCTATTTCTCTTCTGTCAATCTTCTATATAGTGCATTTAGTGCTTGGCCTTTTTCTGTTCTATCCTAATCCGCCTCCCTCAACAGAATATATCCATCTCTCCTGTCATCTATGTAGCTTCTCTTCCTCTAAAAGAATATCAGCAAAATTTAAATTTTTCTATCAAAGACAATCGGTTTCCCGCCACCGTAGCTTCAAATCACAATCTTCTCGGTCTAAGAAGTTCTCTCTGAAGGTATTCTGTATTGCATGTATGTCAGAAGAATTCAGACATGTGTCAGATTTATTTTTCCCAGAGCAACTGAATGGCTTTTTCACTTTTTGTATTTTCGAAAAGCAGTAAAATTGTTGTGGCAGCAGCAACTGTCATCTGTTTTTAGTTAATTCAAGAAGACTAGAGCTAAACCAAAGCACGAGCTATCTATTTGTTGTTTCAAATACTTTTAGTTATGTTAACCATGCAGTACTTTATTTTCTGACCTCACTGTTTTGTTTAAGGCTTCTATTACCAGCTGATCAACACTGCCGAAATACACTTCATTTTGTTCCGTTTCTTCTTTCTGCCTGCTTACATCTATATGTACAATATTCCTTGAAGAATTCCTTGAAATATTTTCTTTTCCTTTTTAACAAAATAAATGCTTGTACGGTATGGTTACATTATATTATTACAAGAAAAACACAAGTCAACGTTTTACAAACCCATTGTTGTTTTCATGTCAGTTTGCAGAGCCTCTAATTCTGAACAAGATAGCCTATTCGAAAATTTACGGCCCACAGTACGAAAAGCTAAGTTGTGGATAGTTCATAAGAACTTACATTACATATTAAGAAAGAAAAAGTTTGTTTATCAAGAGAAAACAATTATTATGAGAAACTTATACTATATTGATACTAACAATGAATGTTTAATGAAATAAACAACGTGTGTCAACAAAGAATTAGTGCCTCGAAAATATATTTCGGGCGAGAAATTTCACTCTTCAAGTTCAGTTGATATGAACAGTTTTATCAATGACGTCCATACATACTGAAGGTGTAACTTCTACAGCGTATTTTTGGTCAAAATTTTCAACAAGTGCAGGGTTATTAGAATTAATTTAACAAAGGTCAAAAGTTTAATTACAATTGTTGTAATTTTACTAATTTATCATCATTCATTTCGAGCCTAAATCCGACAGGTTCATTCAGCGCTTTTCCTTCCTCGTTCATATTCGCTGCATTCACAAACGTCACTTTATCTTTCTCCCACACGCCATAATCTGTATGAATATGACCAAAAATGGATAGAATTGGTTTAACTTGTAAAATTCTTCTCATCAAAAATTTGTCAATATCAAACGATGCGTCACTCGTAGCGTGGCTTTTTCCATCTGGTGGATTATGCGTGATGACAATTTGTGTTCCTAGTGGTATTTTGGACCATAGTTGACGTCGATCTCGACCATCATCGGCTTTCCACGATGCACCATATATCTTTAATCCATCTATATCGACTAATTCATCATTTAGATACGTGGCATTTGAAAATTGTTGTTTCACTCTTTCTAAATCGTCATCGTCAATTAATACTCTTTCATGATTACCGAATATTAATAGTTTGTGTTTAAATGGTAACGAGCCTAGCCACATATTAAAATCATCAATTCCACCACCTTGCGAT